TTTTCAGCATGAATTTCCAATTTCTGATATCAGATAAACTGTTTTCATTATTGTTATCAAAGTAGATCTTGGAGTTGGTTTATATGTAGTTTTAATGTTGTTTTAATGTTGGTTGAAGTTGTTTCCTAAGATCTCTTCAAAGGAAAGTGTCTTAGCTATACTTGTGTGATGTTGTCTTAGAAAGCACAGTGGATTTTTTTCTTTTTTTGGTGAAAGGTAAGCAGCATTTCCCAAAGTTACTGGACTTGAAAGCACAGTTGATGTAAATATTTTTAATTTTCATTTGGCTGTCACCAGTATGTTGTTGCTAATAAGTAATAACCAAAAACTGATGATATTTTACAATTACTGGATGGAGCCATGCATTGTTGTAGAATATTAGATTGTTTAAAGCAAAAGAGGCAGTGAATCTGCCAGCCTAGGTAGCCTGCTGTATTTTTTTTTTCAGCTGTTTCAGAGAAAGCAGTTCTGATAAGAAAGCACAGAAACAAGCAAACCCAATGGCTGATTTGAATCCTTATAATACATTTCTTAATTTCTTGTTTTTTAAGCTAAAGCCCAAGTTTATTTTAAAATAAGCAAGCCAGACATTATCGTCTAGTAGAAGTATTATTTTTGAGAAAGTGCATATGTCAAATGGCCACCTGCTCAAAGACTGAAAAATAGTAAGTAAAGTAAGGGGCAAAAAAAAAAATAATTCTGAGGATTGGGAAAATTTTAAAAACATTTTGCAAGATGCCAGTATCTGCATTTGCAGAAACATATGTGGCCTGGCCCCATTTCGGTTAAACTTGTCCTGAAAGGGAGATGAAAGCAAAAGTAAATTGAGTATAAACAATTCAGTGGGAATAGTAAGAGTTTGTTAGCAATTACTGTGAATTTTATAAGTAAAATTAAAAGAAGTGAGTAATAAATCTGTGGCCAGTTGTTTGGCTGCAAACCATGCACAACCAAAGTGAATGGAAGCTTATCATTGATTTAATAGTAAACGATATGGTCTATACAGATGGTTTTAATAAACTCGTTTGGAAAAAAAAGTGATCTGAAAAATGGCATGAGTTCCTGGCTAAGTTTGGAGAACAATTAAGAAAAGTCAGAGTATCCTGTTGTTATTTCTGTGTGGTGTTTTGGGTGAAGAGGAATGGTGAAAAAGTAATTTCAGTTCCAACAGAAACTAGTGAGAATGTTTTAAATATTACTGAATGTGTAGAACAGTGCTACTGGAGTTTTTTTTTAAAACTCTAAACCATGGGTATACAGCAGTATTTTTCACACTTAAACATTGGGAAAGCTCAAAAGGACTGAGTTTAATGATTATTTTTTTATTGGGGAGGGGGTGAGGGGAGAGAGAAAGATATATAGTTGCTGATCAAGTTGATAGCTGCCCAAGAATAATGTAGCAAGTGATTTGAATAGGAAGTTCACAGTGCAGTCTTTATGGCTTAGATGGAGTTAATTGAAAAGTATGTATTTTAATGTAGTCTTAAGTATCATAAATCATAAATGCTTGCTTCTTTTATTGGCTATATGTACAGTTTGGATGTTTCATTATCCCTGCAGACAAAGTAGGCAATTGTCATCCAGTAAGAAACAATAGACAAAGGCACTCAACTCTGAACATGGCAATAGGTACTTTATTCTGTTGGGATTCTGAGCTATGTGCTCTGCCTGAGAGTAGTAATGTAAAAGAGAAGGAAGTGGCAGCGGAGGATGGGGGAGGCATTTTTTCGCTGTGTTATATAGTCAAGAGCCCTCTCAGTTGCAGAAAATGTTAGAAGTCAAGTCTGTTTGTATGCTAGTAACTTGTTCTTCCATCAGTGAGACAGAGGAAAGCTATCACACTTACTTTGTTTGGCTGTAGATGTCCTTACTTCTATGCTGCTTCTTTGTGGAAACAATGAATAGTCTTTTGATGCTTAGGAAAAAAAATCATGTTTTTTTGCTTCCTTTTCTGTTTACCTGCGCTACTACCTGGTCCTTATATGGTAAACCTGAATCTTCATGAACTCCCTTAAGTTGAAAAGTTTTGTGGAGGAGTCTACAGACCTTCTTGTTCTCCAAAGGTGGAGATTCCACAGCACATTTAGACAACCAGTCCTTAACCACACTTATTATGGAAAAATGTCTTCCTTATTCTTTCTTCAGGGAGAACTGCTGAACCTCTGCCTCTTTCAGTTCTTCCAGGTGAGCTGGGTGTTGCTTTGTGACAATTTTATATTTCCTCAGTGGTGATACTTTGGACAAAAGAACATTTAAGCAGTTGTATATGAGGTCTCTGAGTCGTAGTGGGAGCTGGTGTGGGAGTTAGGCTACTTTTAAAATGTAGGCATTTGAGGCTGGTAACATAAGGGTGCTGCAACCTCCCTTATGGTTAAATTTTTATTGGACGTGTTGTGAGTTTTCAGTAAGGTCAGATTATCTGGGATCTAAAGATGCCAGATGGAAACCAATGGAAAAGGTACCTCGTCCTCAATTCCCTGAGTGCTTATTGACCCCTTGTTCAAAAAATGTATTGGTGCTGTGGTACTTCATTTGTTTCATTATATAGATACTGGTTTTGTTTTAATGAAAGATGACAGTGTGCTATTGCCCACAGCTATCCTGGATGTGCGCTCTGTATTTTGGAAATCAGAATATATTAAGCTTGTAGGTTTCTGGGTGTATTGTTTAATTTTTTTTTGATAGTGATGGAGTGGTATTCAGTTAAAGTTATTTCTGAAACTGGTTTCTTGTAGTGAAAGTTCTTTTCTTACCTAAATTTCAGTTGGCTTAGTACATGATTTTTTTTGTTTTAATGTCTCTGGTATATTTTCTATATTTACGTAATAATTTTTCACTGTAAGTAAGTGTAACTGGAGTACGGGCTTAATTATGTCTGAAATAAAAGATTTTGACATCTGTTCATCTGTAACTAACTGAAGAAGGATTTTTTCAAAATTTCAGTGTCGTTTTGCTACTGGTTTAACGGCTTTATTAGGTGAGTGGTGTTCCTATCTGAGTTCATTTTTTGAGAGGAGATTTAAAGATAAATATTGACCATTAACACCATGTTAACATTTATTTATCTATCTTTAGTAAGATTACTCTGGGTTAGGGCAGTTTGCAAGTCTTAGAAAAGTCCTTATAAATGCTTATTCCCTGAAGATATTTCAAGTAGAGGAGAGAACACAAAAAGACTGGTTTTCATAGTTTTCTTCAGTCTGTCTGTTAATGATAATTTTAAAATGGTCTGTTGGAACCATTTTAAAAGCAGCTCAAGTTGGCAGTTTATACTTTCTTTTCCCTACTCCTTTATTAGTCTTATGTTACTTCTATGTGGAATAATTCTACAAATGATTTGTGAATAAAATGATGAAGCAACAAAGATACTGTATTTAGTTGCAGATGAAATACTAGAATGATACATGTTATGTTGACTGTGTATGTTGACTATAACAGTTGTGTATGCGCTTTTCATTTTCTATACAAATTACAGCTACAAATTTACTAAATGGGGAGGGGGGAACACCAGTCGGTTGGAAGCAACTAGAAAAGATTTGTGCTTTAAGAAAAGCATAAAAAGCATGTATGCAATTCCAGATACTAAATACCATTCCAGAGTCTCAGTGATACTACTGTAAGTAAGTACCACTTTATGTTTAGCTCAGTTTAAGAGTCAAAATACAGTTGGGTGAAGAAAGTGGAACTTTGAATTCAGTAGAGTAGTTAAAAAGAGAAAATCCAAGATGAAAACAGAACTCAAAAAGGTCTGCAGTGAGGCAGTATGGTGCGTTTTGTGTGTGGATTCTTTTTGGTTTTGTTTTGTTTTGTTTTTCATTATGGGATGCATTTGCACAATGATAATTTACTTTGCTTACCTAATCTAATAAACTGCTAGATTATCTAATTATGTAAGTCTGTCATTTTATGTCCTTAATATATGCATACAAGTAAGCCTGGGTAGGAGGAAAGCACAATTATTATTTTTAAGGTGTACTGAAGGTCTTGTGACAAAAGAGTTTTAGTTTTCCTCTTGGGAAAGAACAGAATTCACACTAAATGATTAGCCACACCAAATTCACTTTCAGATGAGGTTGCTCTGTGCTATGCGATATTACTCTTGTAATGCTATTATTAGTGTCAGTATATTTATATGTCGGGTTAGCTATATAGAGAGCTTCTGCTAAATTTACAGTTACGGCAAACTGTCCTCCACTGAAACAAGCTGACAAGTCTCAGGATCTCAGTATTGAAAAAAAACTTTAAAATTAGTAGGTTTCTTTCTGAATTGGTGTTTCCCCTTGTTGCCATCCAACTAAACGTCAGACAATTAGGAATGTTTCCCTCTTGAAATATTAAAGCAGAATATGGTAAGTAAGTAAGCATTCATTGATGACTCCAAGTTAAGGAGTTAGAACAGGACTGGATATAGCAGTTGATATTCCTATGAAAAGATGTGTTGGCCGCACCTTTAAAGAAGGAAGAGAAGAGATTTGATAGCGGGGATGTGGGAGTGTGTGTGCTGGGATTTCTTTCTATAGAAAGAAAACAGGAGTCTAGTCAAATTAGAATGACTTTGTTTAAATAAAAGGTATACACAGAAACCTTACATAATGGTAATGCTTGCATAAATACTAGTTTATTCAGACGATATTTCCCTTTTGCAGGAATTTGCATAGCTTTTATGCGATGACTGTTAATCCAAGAAATTTAAAGAAATAACCTGGTTTTCCATTTGTGTGTCACTGTGTGTATAAATCATTAGTATTTGGATTTAATGGAGTATTACTTGTATAAATTCTCCACTGAATAAACTTAAAAATGTATTACAATGCATCTAAACTTTGGATAATATAAAATGAAATGTAAACATGACTTCAGTAACTTATGTCTGTAATATTCAAAACAGTTGAAATAGTCCATGGAAAAAAGTGTTGTAAAAGATTCTTTGTGCTATAATTGAAATGTCCTTTGAGCTTCTAGAAAACATTAAAATTAAATACAATTATAACTTTTTGTAGGTTGGGCTCATGTGGTTTGTGCTCTGTACATTCCCGAGGTGCAGTTTGCAAATGTTTCTACAATGGAACCTATCGTGTTGCAGTCTGTTCCTCATGATCGTTATAATAAGGTATAATTATGTGTCTTTTTATCTATATCTAATGTATTTATTTTAAAACTTATGAGCTTTAATGATCTAAACCCACACTTCTTAGAATGCACTTCTTATAAAATTCATAAATGTATGCAGTAATGCTGTGTGTTTTTTTTGCTATGACTGTATGATAAATTAAAGAATTAAGAAAGCTGTATTATTAAATTAAGCTGTAAGGTTATCTGCCATGTCTCATTATTCTTTTACAGATTAGGGACTGTTTTGTTAATTAAAAATATAATGATCTTTGAATAACAGTTTATTTTCAAAGGAATGTGAAATATTTCCCATAGGTTAAAATATTATTACAGCTTATTTGAAATGTTATTATTAATTACCACTAAGTCCTACTGTTTTAAGTACTGATACGAACATAAACATGTTCATAACCTTTTCTAAAAGGAAGAAAAGCCATGCTAATATATTAACGCAAAGGCTTGCAAACTTTTGCCTTTGTATTAATTTTAAGGTGTTTATCTGCTTATAGAAGAACTGCTCCTAAATAAGTGTCAGTGAGATGGAATGTTTTAAAAAGTGTGGTCAGACTTTATTTAAAAAAAAAGAAGGGGGGGGCAAAAAAAAAAATCAAAACAATGTAATACTAACTTATTAATATTCTGTATTGATAGTTAATTTTTCTACTTGTTTCGCTTGTGCTACCTCTTCCTCACTAGACTTAACTACATCCTCCTTTGTATTTTCCCTTCTGTAGGCAGTAAACTGTTTGAATTTCTTAGTAGTTTTATTACATATTTTTCTCTTGTTGTTCTTTTTACCTCTAGTTTCTTTCTTTAATTTATGGTGCTTTGTTGAGACTGAGGTAAAAGAGGAATAGACTGTGTTATGAAAGAAAGAAAGAAAGAAAAGGCATGCATTACCTCTTGTGTTCTTCCTACAGGGAAACCAATCCTGTTCACGTTGTCTCTGTGACCTCTGTTTTTTGTTTGTGGTCCCGTCCCCCCCGCCCCCCCAGTTTACACCTCTGATTTATTCTATGCGCCCCCCCCCCCTTGTTTTTTTCCCCAGACTTTTGTCTTTTCCTTGTCTGTTTCAGATTCTCACAATTGCTGTCAGTATGTTTTGCCCATCTTATTTACCAGTGTATCGGAAAAGCCAGGAGTCAAACTCGAGGTTGTTCTCATGGTTGCTCATGACGTACTACCTGAGCATCTGTATTGGCTCCTCGCTATTGGCTTCCTTCTTCATTGGCATGAGCGTGCAACAGTGAGATTGAGTGCAGAAGTAATAAAATTTTTGCACTTGGGTACAAAGCACTACAGATTTGCTGTAGCAGATGAGTTTATCTTCTCTCTCTACTCAACTCTGGACCAACAGCATATCTGTTTTCTCTTTTTTCCTTGAATAGTGGTCATAATTTTTTTTTTTTTTAATTGGTAGTGGTTCTTCCTGAAGGTACTTCAAAAATTTCATAGAGCACTTTGGATTTTGTTTTATCTTGCACCATTTCCATTGTTGGTAATTGATATTGGATTAGTAAATTCTTGTAACTTCAAAAAAAATGTACCCTCCGTCTTTTAATATGACTTGTTCGCAAGTCCACTGTTGGTCTCTGTCTTTAGTCTTTAATTCCTTTTTGTTACAACTAAAGTTGCTTCTTTCTTGGACTGTTTTTGTTCCAAATAAATGTTTTATAGTTGTTTTTTTCCTACTAAAATTCCAGATTGCATTTTGTTGGTCTGTAGTTACCATGATTTTTTTTTGCTTACTAGATGATTACTAGTGCCATACAGATCATGTAGACAGAGTTCCTGATGCTGTGTAACTCTTAGTTTTCTGGTTTTCGTGGTGTTCTGATTTGGGGCTATTTTAAATGTTAACAGTCAGCCTAAAACTACTTTCATAGAAGCCACTACGGTATATTGTAAAATATAATGAGACCTGTGTCAGAAATTTCAAGGTTTGGGGTCACACCCCTAGCCTGCAAATTATTTTTTCTTGTGTGTGTGTTATCTTCTTTTACAGAACTCAGCTTTTGCTGTCTTTACTTGGTCTATTTGGTTCAGGGAGATAGCAGTTGTGGATTTCAGGGGAATCAAAGAAAAACCCGTAGTGTAGTTGCTGCAGCAAACCTCCTGAAGCCAATCTAACTTCCTTGCCAACAGCCGTCTAATTGTAACAGCACGGATGTGTTGTTTTTTTTTTTTAATAAATCTGTAGCCACTGCTGAGTTTGGTACTACTGTGACTAAACTGCCACCAGTTCCTGAGTAGGCTGGTTTTGAGCAATACCCCCAAAATCAATATAATTACTAATTCCCTTTTCAGGTAGTCTGCAATGATTTCATCCCCTACTCCCATTGCTATTCAATCGAAATTGTGGTTATTTAAATGATACATTTTTTTAGATCAGAAACTCTGTAAAGCGTTTAACTTTGTCAATTTGAGAGGAAATGGGAAAGAAAAGCTTTTTTTTTTTTCCAGAAGTAGATATGGCAAACAGTCCTTAAAACGTTTGTTGCACGTTGTGAACAAATGTAAACATGTAATTAGGAAAAAAGTACTGGAGTTGTTTCTCTTTTTAGAGAGGCTTAGTGCTGATTTCATTTTGTCTGTCAACTCAGGTTGGAATAGGATGATTTTAAGAAAGATTTTATTTCCTGTGGAGTCCTAAATAATTCTGCGTGTGTAACTGGATACATACAGAATGCTAGCTTATGGAATTGAGGGAAAATATAGGTCAATGAAAATTACCATAAGGGAGAATTTGTACTGTAGTCTTTAAAATAAAGACAAACATAGTTAGAGTTTTGCCAGGACATAGTACTTAATTTACACATTTTTTTTCTATGCACTTGTTTATTTTTTGAACACTGAAATACGCAATATTGCAAAGTAATGTTAGATGAAAGAGGAAACACAGCAGATACTAATGCATGAGGCTTGCCAATGTAAAGACATTTAGCTATTTCCCTGAATTTTACCTGCTTCTGGGATAAAACCCATCACATTACAGAATGCATCCACTGAATGACTTGATTAGTGTATTAACTAACAGGAAAGCTCTTACACAGTTGATTCCAAAAAGAAATGGACCAGTAGTTGCTCTCCTATTTAGTAGGTGTTTGTTACTCCCTGGATGGTTATGCATGGATAGTATCTTTTTATTTTATGTGAGCTTTGTTTGTTTCTTTCAGGTTCATTTGAAAGTATGTGGTAATTGAATAAAATCACTGCTTTTAGGAGTCTCTTTTAAGAACTGATTAAAAAATAAGTGCATTTGGAGTTTCTTGATCTACTTAGTAGTAAAGGCAGTTGTTAGACTTATTTCAGCACTTGCTGCAACAGTGAGAAATTTCTGTACAACTCCTATGTTTGATTCTGTAAGCAGGGAATGCTGTTGAGTAGCTCTTAGGAGTAAACTATTTCTCAAATTACTTTTTGTTTTATAAGATTTTTCTTACCTCATCTTCCCTTCTGTCTTTGCTTTTGAAAGAAGGCTTATGTTTTGAATCTTTGAAAGAAAAATATTGACAGAAACATAAAGGCAGCTTTGCAAAATGTATGTTTTGCCATTAAAGAAACCAAGATATTTGTTGTGTGTTTTAGGTAAGATTTATTTGCTGAGTCAAAAGTTTTGTGTAATTTTTTGCTTGTTTTCCAGTGAGTTTGGGAGAAGTCTAAATACTCTCTTCTGTTAAGAGCTCTGAAGAGCAGTGCTGCTGTAGGTGGTGGGACACAGAGTTTTACACTTCCACATTTCAGAGGTTTCAAAGGAGATGTAGCAATTGCATGGATTTACAAACACATGAAAGTCTTCATTTTTCTGCTTTGTGAAGGAAAGATAAAGGTTCTCAGGCTTCTGGAATTGTTCATGTGTCTAAGAGAAGGTAGAAGTATGAGAAGCTCAGCTTTAGAGAGAACTTACCATCCATGTTGGAACAGGAGAATGAACTTTCTTTGGCCCTGTTTCGTATGGAAGATTAGGAAACAGGCTTTATACTTCTCATGACTATTGTAGGAAGAAGTTCATTGAGCTTGTTAAAATGTGTAGGCAGTCCCCCATGTTGTGTTTTAAATTTGTTTGTAATGTAGCTGGTCATTTGTTACCATTTTTTAGTCATTTTACTGTGAATTGGTTTTAAGGGGTCCTGAAACACAGACCCTAAGTGTAGTATGTAGTGTTGAAAAACAGGACCTACATCCTTACTAAATGGAATGCTTATATCGCTTTTCTTTCTGAGTCTCAGTGAGGAAAAAAATTACACATCTTAAGGCGAAATTCTGAAAAAACAGAACAGTAGCTGACGCTTGAGTTTTATGGGTCTGTTGAACTCTCTGTTTATAGAGGTACCTTACTTTTGAAGCTACTTACACTTAATATAGTTACCCAGATGAGGTTGATAGATCATGACCTTATCTGTTCCTAAAATCTAAATGTGTCAGGTTATGGTACGGAAACCTAAAAAGCAGTCTCAGACCCTGTGAAACTGAATTGTCTGTGTGCACCACCTTGATGTATAAAGGGAGCAAGGCAGAGATTTAAGTAGGATTATCCCCTTTCTGATCCTTCACATGTTAGGATATAGGGTATGATTTTAGCATATATTAGCTATTGGGTTGAATGCTTTTTGAAAGTCTTGTGGAAACTATTCAAGAATGACTTACCTACCCTGGAGTCTCACATTTTAACAAAAATGCTTTAGTTAGTTGACATCTCATGTTAAGTGTTGTTCTAAAAACCTCTGTAAAAGGCTGTTTTGATCTCAGAATGTCACTCATTTTCATGGCTTTCTAAGTAATACTGATTTTGCATTGTACCCTTTTTATTTTTTATTTCAGTTGTATCTTGGTCCATTTTTCTTCAACTATATTTTCTACTGCCCATGGTTGATATTCTTTTTATTTCTTATTCTACTCATTCTCTGCCTCGCTGAAGGGAGGTTGTGGTACAATTGAAATAAGTCAGTTATAGTTTCAATGTAGACAAATTTTTTGGCGGGGGGAGGGGGAAGTTTCTCTTTTCTCATCTAAGATCTTGTAATGGGATTTCTACAGAGGTAGCAGTGTGTCATTGATGTTTGTTACCTCAATAAGGTTCTCTGTTATTTGAAAATGGACACTTGACTGCCCCAGTGCTGGAGGATACTTTCATTAAAAATCTATTCTTAAATTGTTAAATTTTACACAAATGTGATGTGCTGGAATCTCTCTAAATGGTATTTCAGTAATTAGAACAGTAAAAAATGGAAAGAGATTTAGTTTTGCCTGCTGTTTCTCCCTGAAATGCTGGTGAGATATTGTAGTGATGTCCAGCATAATAGTGAGCTTCCATACAGTATGTTTCCATGTTTATTTGCTGTGTATAAAAAAAAAAAGGATTGAATAATGAGAAAGATTTTTGAATTCTTTTTGTCTTAATTTTTTTCTTCCATTTTACTGAGAAAGTTTTTGAAAATACTACAAATTGCCATAGTATCCCAGTAAAACAAATAAGTTGGCAGGAATACTATGAAAACATTTTCAGATACTAGACAGGTTATTTTCATTTTAGCTTGTTTTTGAGGTTGAAATGGGTTTGATATACTAATTTAAGCTTTGTTTACAGAAGGTTCTTGCTTGATTAGTTTCTAAGATGTTTATGGGGCTATCCAAGTCATACTGAAATTAAAGCAGAGTTCTGTTAAACACCATATTTAATTAAAGGTAACTGAGCATCATATGAATATTGAAGCATGCTATGAGACTTCTGAAAATTCTTTACACCAAATGTACACATAAAATTTTAAGTTTATAGTTTTTCTGTGTGTAATTTTGTAGACATATGCATGTATATTGTATGGTATCTTGTACCATTAGGTACTCAGTCTAATTTGATGTTTTTGAATGCCACCAATACAGGTAATGTTAAATGAATGTGAAAATGATGACGACCTAAAAGGACATAAACGCAAATTTGAAAGCAAGGAAAATCTTGAAGCCTAATGCTATTAACCTTTGGCTGTTTAACCGTTTGTCTAGTTGAATAGCGGTATAGAATTTAAGTAAATTAGTATTTGTACTGCCTTAGTGTTGCTGAAGTGTTACATAGGTCCCAAGTGTCTACCAGGTGATCTCCTTTTGCAAACAAACTTAATTAGACTTTTATAAAGTTGTTCTTACGTAAGCTTAGCTGCAAAATCCAGTAGCTCTCACCCTAGAATCTCCTGTGAGTAACACAGAATTTATTTCTATGCTTCTTATCATGTTAAGTATTTTCTCTTTGATAGACATGCTATATTTGTGATGAACAAGGCAGAGAAAGTAAAGCAGCCACTGGTGCTTGTATGACATGTAATAAACATGGATGTCGACAAGCTTTTCACGTAACGTGGTAAGTATATTATATTATTAACATCTCTGATGTTCCAGAAAGAATCAATGCACACAATGTAATGAATAAACTTTCTATTTAGTATATTTCTGTAAAGTGTTTTGTGTAGAAATATCTAACTTTATTGTAATAGAGTTTACTAACAGTATGGCAGTGGCAGCATAGACATTGCTGTGAGCTGCATAAGCTATTTGATGATATTCCCTTGGGTTGTATTAAATACTGTGTGCTTCTGTGAATAAAGTTTAGTGGTTTTTTTTTTGTCTTGCGTATTTTTCTTAGATGCTATTTTATATGATATGAGAATGTGAAGACATTGTTTGTTTACCTGCTAACTGATTTGATGATTACTTTTGGTAAATCAATGGGAAAAATGATTGAGTTATACATAAAAATGCACTAGACTCACCCCTTCCTGTACAGATTTCCAAATATTTGCAGGTAGTTCACCTCACTGGTTTTATCTAAAAGGTACACGTCTATCCTGAACTGTTCATTTAGGTTTCATATGTAGCTGTTGGAGAAAACCAGTTGTATTCACCATCTGATTCATTCCACTTTAAGATATTTAGATCTGCTTACGCTCATGAGATGCTTGTCTCATTTTATGGACTTCTAAAAGACGCTAGATAATTAGATAAAAACACGTGTCAGCAGGTAAAAGGAAGCAAAAGGAGTTCCACTCCAAAATTTACGGGCATTGTTTGTTTTTTCAAATTCAGCTGAAGCTATTTTGCAATAGATAAATAGCAGATTTACACAGACTGTCTAGCTACATAATCTGTGGATTTACCAATCTGTTTTGTGAGTGCCCTAGTATGCTGCTTCATGATGAGCTCAGTCAGGGCAGTGGTATTTGCACACCTACTTAAATTACTTAAATGTATTTTCTTCAGTGTAATCAAGTGATACTTTGAGTGTCTTGTGTAGATCTTAAAGGATATAATTCTGTAGTTTAAGTGCTGATTTCTTGGCAACTCTTTTTTTCTTTTAATTACTTGACTATCTGGCAGGTTTTACTCTTTCATAAGTATCTACTTTTTCATTGAATATGATCAATGTCAAAATTCTTTTAAAGGTGAAAATAGATTATGTTCCTCAAAGCATGCATAACATGTAAAGATATTACTTACAGATATGAAAAAATGAATGCATCCAAGTGTTTGGATGAAAAGATCTCTTTTTTTATTCAAACACTTGGATGCATGCACAAGTCTTTTTCATCTTTTTTTTTTTTTCTTCCAAAACCCTATTTTTAGTGAATGCATTGAAGAAAATGAGAATTAGGTTCAAAATTAAATTATTTATCTTGCCAGTTTTTAGATTTTTTTTTGATTCTAAAAAAGCCAGGTGTGTACTATAAAATGATATCTAACCAGAGAGTACTGTGACTGAGGATATTGAGAGACTTCTGTAATATTTAAAAAATGGAGGAAAAATGTGAAAACTACAGAGGGCAGAGATCCAGGGTGAGGTGTATCAGTTCTGGGTTAACAAAACTAATGTCTAAGGAAGAATGAGCTTGAGTCCATCTGTTTTTGTATGGCAAACTTCAAATGATAAATCTTCACTTAAAGAGATCCTTTAAGTGTAGTTGGCATCTGCTGTAGGTGTGCATGCATTTAGGAAGAAGTATTTCTGGATTGTGCTAGAACATAATGTATAAATGAGGGGAAAGTGCTTTTAAAATCAATGAAAAAAAGCTGCCTTAAATATTTTTCTTTCATTTAAAAATTCCTGTGCATAATTTTGACTGTAACATTGCATTATTATGCTAATGAAAATGATATGGAAAAAGAAATGGAATAATTGGTTTTTCAAAGTCTAAGTTGGTTTTGATAAATTTTGATAAGTCAACATTACAAATGCTGAAAAGCAAATTTGATTTGAAAAAATGTAGTAGAATAAGGTAATAATTAGCCCAGGCAAGGAAACTTCTGTCTTCTTCTTTTTAAAAGAAATTAACCTACTACAGTCTTTTAAACCAATAAACATCATATCATGTATCATAGAATGGTTTGATTGGAAGGGACCTTAAAGATTATCCAGTTCCAACCTCCCTGCCATGGGCAGCGACACCTTCCACTAGACCAGGTTGCTCAAAGCCCCATCCAACCTGGCCTTGACACTTGCAGGAATGGGAAATCCACAGGTTCTCTGGGCAACCTGTGCCAGTACCTCACCACCCTCACTGTGAAGAATTCCTTCCTAATATCTAAATATAAGAAAGAAGATAGAATCAAACCAAATATGGTTTGATTTATTGCATCATTAAAGTTCTATTAAAAAAAAAGGTAATTTTCCTGGCAAAACAGAGAAGGATGTATGAAATTTCAGAAAAATTTCTTCTTTGGATCTACAGTATGGTTTTGTTAAAAAGTGTTCTTTCCATAGATAATGTTTGGCTTGAATTTGAGCTAAGAATCATTGTGAATTGCTTGGTTTGTTTATTTGTGGGAGTAGCTGGGTAATAAATGTAGATTTTCAAGCTATAAGCTTGTGTGAGTGGCTTAAAGACTATGAAAAAGGAATCAGGCCAAAATGTGAACCATACATGCTTTTCACTGGGCTGCAAAGGTCAGTTATGTGCTCGCATGCCATTAAGTCACTTGTGTGGATATCTCATCTATTAAATGCAGATCTAAGTATCCGTATGTTATCAGCTGTGATATTGTGGTGCAAACTGATGTAAAATTTCTTTCCTTGAATGTTACTTGGTTTATTTTTAGTGCACAGTTTGCAGGACTTCTCTGTGAAGAAGAAGGCAATGGTGCAGATAACGTCCAATACTGTGGCTACTGTAAATACCATTTTAGTAAACTGGTATGTATTTTGTTAAATTCTATAAATAAATGTCACTGACTTATTTTTTCACTTTGAATTGCTATTAACACTAGAAACAATATTTTCATGTAGCTCAGAAAGTAGATTGTATTTCATTAAAACAATGTTTTAATCACAGTTACAGAAGTACTAGCTGAAAATGTTTTTGTAAGTGGTTACTTTTCTAGATGTGTGGGTTTTTCCCCTCTGCCAGAAACAGCATGCACATTTAGTGTTTTTTTCATTGAGTTCCTGTAATGTTTTCTTTTGCTGTTTGATTAGTTGGCTTCTAGGAATTTAGTCCATTGTGGAATAATCTAGAAAATATTACTTGTTATCCTGTATATTACAGAATAAAGAAGCCCTCCATTTCTTTCTGCTTCTGTTACTCTATTACTCCTTTTTTAAAAGTGTTCTTTCTTTTATTCTCTCTCACCTTGTAGCCAATAGATATTCCCTGCATATAAGTTCTCTGAAACACAACCTGAAGGAAGTGACTTGAGGTTTGTTTTTTTAAAAAAAACAAACAAGCAAACAAAAAGCTTTGAAATGTCTCAGTTATTTCAGTAGGTTTTGGATCAGACCTCTGGAGTCTTTCCTATCACTTCTTATCAGTTTGACAGTTCCAGATGTCTGTTTCTGTGTACGTGTGTGAGTGTGTGGACTTGAAGGACTTACTGATGTTTTAAAAATGTTATTTATGAATATTGAATTATGGAAATTAAAATGTATAGACTTAACCTCAGATATTGCTGCAAGTATAGTTAAACTTGCTGATTATTTGTTTTTGCTGCTAAAAAAGGTGAATACTTGGGTGACTTTTGAAAAGGTTGCAATGAGGTAAAAACACAGGGCCAGTGAACCATTTTAGCTTTCTAGAAGATAAGCTTGGTGAGGTTAGCTCTGTGCTCTTGTGAATATTGATGAGTTTGCTTCATAATGAAGATAAGCCAGGGTTTTCTAGGCCATTAGTAAGCGAAGATTTTTTTTTTTTAATTAACTTCAGCTCAGTATACAAAAAGAACAAAAATAGTCTATTACGTAGCAGTGAAGGCAAGCTCTTACACTGTTATGCATTTGATTTGAACGTTCCAGTGCTGCAATGATTGAGAACATGTATATTTATTTAAAAAGCAAGTTTAATGGTTAAGACATAATTCTATACTTGACATACAATTAGTTAGCTTTCCATTATGAAGCTGTCGTGTTAAGAACAGTAAAGACTGGCAAGATCATTTCAGTATTTTAGTGTTTCTTTAGGATTATTGTGACTGTTTATGCCTGGTAAATACAGGTGTTTAGTATTTACTACTGAAGGTGGTGGGTGGTGTATATCTACTGTACCACTGAAAACTTTGGTTGGCAAAGCACTGACCTGAAGTGTCTTTATCAAGCTACCTCACTTCTGACAAAATAACAAACTTTTTGAACGCTGGCCTAGCATAAAGTTTTTGCAGTCCTGGACTAGGCTCTCAAACATTACAGAAATACAAGCAGTTATGTCTGCTGCTGGTAAATGCATATATGACCAAAGCATTCTGTATCCTATGTTTTTTAAACCATTTTAATGATAATATTGCGGACAGGTCACTTGAATAATAAGTCATGAAGCTGTAGAAGAGCCACCTCACAATGCTTTTCAAGCATGTGGCAGTGCTAGCACTGTGGCTTCATGTGATACTCATTTGAGCAGCAAATGAGTTTTACGTTATAAAAACTTGAAAATGTGCCTAGCATCTTTTAACCTTTAAAAAGTGGCATATCTCATTTCTTTGTGGAAAGCGTATCTTGCAAATTCATGGGAGGTGTAAAAGTCAATACAAGGATAGGCTGTTTTCCTGGTGTACACTGAATAGTCTTAATTTTATTAGGGTTAGTAATTTGTCAGTTTTTCAGTAACTGAGGTGTGGTGTTTTTTTTTTTTCTTCAAGCAGTAAGGCATCTTATCAGTTGAAATGCTTTATACTTTTTATTTATTCAAATGGTTCCTTTTCTCTATCCATAAATATATTTTCTCTTTTTAGAAAAAGAGCAAACGGGGATCTAATAGGTCATATGATCAAAGTTTAAGTGATTCTTCCTCTCACTCTCAGGATAAACATCATGAGAAGGAGAAAAAAGTAAGTGGATTTGTCGTTGCTAATTACGTGGCACATCTGCTTAATAGTAGCACTTTCTGATAAATTTAATTTTTGCTGAAAAGCATGAAGGAAATCTTGTTCCTGAAGCACTGAAAAATAAATAATGCAGGTGATGAACTAGAGCTACTGGAGTCCAATGAGGAAACATCTTCAGGTGCATTTATACCTGCACCTTCCTATTCCTGTTTATCATCAGGTTTGGGATACACACTGAAACATATCCATTGGGAAAGCTGTTTCCATGCAGCTTCCTTTGCTTTAGTTTTCCATTAGAGAGTTTTTTCTGTAGCCTTTGTGACTAGGCGGGAAAGAAAAACAGGGGTAGACATTTTAGCAAGTGTGCTGATAAACAGGTGCGTCTATTTTTTTTGTTTCAACCTATTACACCTTTTTCTCCTCATCAAAGAACTGACAACTTTTGTTGACAAGTTTTGCTGGTACTGGTGGTCAGTCCCACTGTGATGGCAATATACCTTGTCATTCACTTAAGAATCTTCCTGTGAGGGTACAAAGAACATAACTGACTGCTAATTTCTGTTGTTGGTGTATTCTTCTAACAATTTAACTTTACATATTTTTGAAAAAGAATTTAAAATGTATAATGATTATTACTTTACGTCTTTATTCCTGCTAGATTAATAGTTGTCTATGGGAAATTTGTCATCTAAATTCAACACAGGGTGATAAGACAGTGGCATAATAATGCAAATTTGCTTTGGCTCCTTTTTAGCCCTCTAAGAATACATGCAAAACTGCTCACCTGCATACATCCTGTACAGCTAACTGAATAGACTGTTCTGCAGGTGTGGGTAGCCTTAGTGTTACATTATTCAAAATCATTACATAAAAATTGAAATCAAAGAATGTATTGACCAATAAATTGTGTATTATATGAAGGAGCTATATTCCTACTGGCAGGAAATTGAATAACAAATGTCCATCTTCAGACTCTTAGCCTCCTTAACGTTTGTTTTGATTTTTAAGCTCACTTCAACTTTGGATGGATGTTGATCTCTGTTGTTCTTGGATAATCTTCTAAAAAGTGTCTTTAGATCTGGTTGATGGTGTAGGTAAATAGTTCCATCTTCATCTGGTAATGCAGAAGAGAGTGTGCATTGTGGTATGGTTGTACCTCTAACTCTAAATTTATGACTAAAATAATGAAAGTATGGGGTTTTGGCAGATCTTTTTTTCTTAGAAACACATGGGTAGAAAAAAACCAATCTTGAGTTACAGACTACAGAATTACCTGCAAGGTAAAACCTTACCAATATTTGCCATAGTTTTTTCTTAGTTTCCATAGTTTTTCACCAGTATCGTTTTTCAGGTCATGTTTTGTTAAAATACATGCATGGATTTTTACTCACATTGACAAAACTTTGAAGTTGAATTTGAAGAAACTTTGAGGTGTGAGCGTGAGGCTCAATTTCAGTTTTGTATGTCTGAGCAGTGCAAAAAACTTATTGCTGTGGTGGTGGGGTGGTTGGTTTGTTTGTTTTAAAGTGACTTTGGCTGGAGATACTATGCTTCTTCAGGTTGTAATACCTGCAAAAACTTCAGAGCATACTTGGAGTGACTTTCTGAGAGAGTATGTTAAACCAATATATCAGCTATTTTTCCTGCTAGCTGCTCAACTTCTGCTGCTCTGGAAGTGTTTTGATGTGGATCTTCTAGAAATAGTTAATGTTTTAGCTTGCCTTTGCAAGTCCTGGCCTTTTTCTGTGACATGAAGTTTGCTAGAAATAGGATATTGAAGTTTCTTCTACCTTTCATGAACCGAAACATGGTAATCCAGAAGATCCCATGATCTGCAGTACCAAGTGAAGCAATGCAGTTTGAAGGACTAACCTATTATTTGACATTTAGTGGTTCTCATGGCACATTACAATGTGTTCACTTATCAAGTTTAATTTGCTTTATATGTTATATAATAACAAAAGACTATTGTAGTTAAAACCACCAAGTGGTGAAAAAAGTTGGAATTTCCTAAAGCTGTTAATCACCTAACTTTTTATGGCTACAGATTTTTTGTTTGGTGTTTTTATTCTTACATGTTCTATAGTTAAACAATGACCTGTTTTGCAAAATACTAATCTTCAGTCAGTGAACCATATGTGGTATGGAGGCTCATTCTCTTGATAAATTTGATTACCTTCTGCATGTGATATCTTATTTGATATAGTATATCAAATATACAGTGTATCTTGGAGGAGTAGGTAATTTTTAGGGTGACTTTCATAGAATCATAGAATCATTA